AAAACCAGACTCTGCATCAACTATGTAATTTTCCATGGGAGTTTTGCCATGGATCCCCCTCCGGCATGCCACAGTCCAGGTGTTGGTCCCCTTGAAACAACTTTTCCATCACTATTGTGGCCAGAAAGAGTCCCTGTGGGTTTTAAAATTCAACTGCCTATTGAAGTCTATGGAGGTTCGCCCGGCGAACATTTGTGGAAGTTCGCGTTCGCCGTTCGCGAACCGAAAATTTTATGTTCGCAACATCACTACTCTACAACAAATACCTGGGTATTCTACAAACACAACCTCCAGCAATGTATCTAAGGAATGTAAACTTCTACAGGCCTTTAAGACTTTGGATTACAAATACAATTACTACTTTTAACTTTGGATTACAATTCATATCCGGATACATCCAAGAATATCTTACTCTGGAACCTGGTGTTCTTTGCAATTCTTTCCCAGACAAAAGCTTTGCTCATTTTAATCAACCACCTTTACAGGCAAAGATCACACTACGGATATTTTACTGTTACAACAATGATCAAAGATGCTGGGAGCACAAAAACCTAAAGACTGTTGGAGAATTTTGGTTTACTAATTTAAGGAAGAAATGCGCTACAATGCCCACAGTTTAATGGAGAGGGTGTTATGGACAAATGCAAATATAAGTTTTAGAATTAAATGTTATATTTCTTAAACTGTGTACTTTGTCTTTAAGAGATATTGCAAACTGACAAGGTGTTAGAAATGGAACATATTGTTTTCCATAACTGTTTCTTTAAGCAATAACCTCAGTGCATAATATGTTTGCGCCATTTTGTCCCAGACGAATTACAATTACAATAATGCATAAACAAGCTTCAAGGCTATGCTACGACTCTTTCAGTACACAATATGCTGTTGTAACCTTAAGTAGATAAGGATGTCCAGACTTTAAGATGCCATCTTGAACTAAGTCAGGAAAATTTCCATGACGTATACACCCTTTAGTTATGACCTTGTATGTTTGCCAAGTTAAGGGAGGTCTTAAAATGAATAAAGTAAAACAAGTGTTAGTTTTTCATATATGAACTACGATAACCCTAAAATGGAGACACCTAAGGTATAAATAGGTGTACTTTTAAATGTTAAAACACAGAGGAGAGACTTGGAGACAGACGCTGCTCCATCTTAAAATGACAGAGAGGCTGACATGATGACATGTTCAGAAGGGTATGTTAACCTATTAATGATATTTGCAAGCATTTAGTTTAGTCTTATAAACTCTGCTATAATGGATTTTATATGTCTATATTTATATTTTTATATAATAAATATCTAAAAAAGACAAAACTTTATTGTTCCAAGACAATCCTTATTTTATATTGTATTCTCAATTATTTATATATCTTAAATAGAGGATCTCTTACTAACTATATAAAATTATGGCTAAGATATCTGTATGGTTAGCCCTACTAAGTTCAATGCTTTAAGACATTATAGTGGTAAATAAGGGAACCAGCCGCGATTACAAGGCACTGAGTGTAGTGGTGTTATGAAGACAGGCTCAGGCACTGAGGGTAGTGGTATTGTGGAGACAAGCTCAGGCACTGAGTGTAGTGGTGTTGTGGAGACATTCTTAGGCATCGAGTGTAGTGACATTATGAAGACAGGCTTGGAGACTATAGTGAGGCCTAATAGAAAGCAGTTGTTGTTGGGGGATTCTATCATAAGAGGTGTGGAGCTGGACAATAGTGGTATTGTTAGATGTCTTCCTGAGCTACTGCTCACAGAGACAGGAGACGTATTTGTAATATTGTTAAGCGAGGAAAGCAGGAAGGGGAATTGAAACATAGAAACATAGAATGTGACGGCAGATAAGAACCATTCGGCCCATCTAGTCTGCCCAATTTTCTAAATACTTTCATTAGTCCCTAACCTTATCTTATAGTTAGGATAGCCTTATGCCTATCCCACGCATGCTTAAACTCCTTTACTGTGTTAACCTCTACCACTTCAGCTGGAAGGCTATTCCATGCATCCACTACCCTTTCAGTAAAGTAATACTTCCTGATATTATTTTTAAACCTTTGTCCCTCTAATTTTAGACTATGTCCTCTTGTTGTGGTAGTTTTTCTTCTTTTAAATATAGTCTCCTCCTTTACTGTGTTGATTCCCTTTATATATTTAAATGTTTCTATCATATCCCCCCTGTCTCGTCTTTCCTCCAAGCTATACATGTTATGATCCTTTAACCTTTCCTGGTAAGTTTTATCCCGCAATCCATGAACCAGTTTAGTAGCCCTTCTCAGAACCCTCTCTAAGGTATCAATATCCTTCTGAAGATACGGTCTCCAGTACTGTGTACAATACTCCAAGTGAGGTCTCACCAGTGTTCTGTACAATGGCATGAGCACTTCCCTCTTTCTACTGCTAATACCTCTCCTATACAACCAAGCATTCTGCTAGTATTTCCTGCTGCTCTATTACATTGTCTGCCTACCTTTAAGTCATCAGAAATAATCACCCCTAAATCCCTTTCCTCATATGTTGAGGTTAGAACTCTATCAAATATTCTGTACTCTGCCCTTGGGTTTTTACGTCCAAGATGCATTATCTTGCACTTGTCCACATTAAATGTCAGTTGCCACAATTCTGACCATTTTTCTAGTTTACCTAAATTATTTGTCATTTGGCTTATCCCTCCTGGAACATCAACCCTGTTACATATCTTAGTATCATCAGCAAAAAGACATACCTTACCATCAAGACCTTCTACAATATCACTAATAAAAATATTAAAGAGAATGGGTCCAAGTACAGATCCCTGAGGTACGCCACTGGTGACAAGTCCAAGCTTCGAATATATTTCATTAACTACCAACCTCTGTTGCCTGTCACTCAGCCACTGCCTTACCCATTCAACAATATTGGAATCCAAACTTAAAGATTGCAGTTTATTGATAAGCCTTCTGTGTGCAACAGTGTCAAAAGCCTTACTGAAATCTAGGTAAGCAATGTCTACTGCACCACCCTGATCTATAATTTTAGTTACCCAATCAAAAAATCAATAAGATTAGTTTGGCATGATCTCCCTGAAGTAAACCCATGTTGTCTCTGATCTTGAAATCCATGTGTTTTAGATGTTCAACAATCCTATCCTTTAACATGGTTTCCATCACTTTCCCCACTACTGAAGTAAGGCTTACTGGCCTATAGTTGCCTGACTCCTCCCTATTACCTTTCTTGTGAATGGGCACAACATTAGCTAACTTCCAATCTTCTGGGACTACTCCTGTTAACAATGATTGGTTAAATAAATCTGTTAATGGTTTTGCTAGTACACCACTAAGCTCTTTTAATAGCTTTGTGTGTATTCCATCAGGTCCCATTGACTTATTTGTCTTTACTTTTGACAGTTGAAATAGAACCACTTCCTCTGTAAACTCACGTGTAATAAATGACTCATTTATCCTTTTTCTCAACTGAGGTCCCTTTCCTTCATTTTCATCTGTAAATACAGAACAAAAATGTTCATTGAGGCAGTCAGCTAGACCTTTATCCTCTTCTACATACCTTCCTTCTTTTGTTTTTAATCTAACTAATCCTTGTTTTACTTTTCTTTTCTCATTTATGTATCTAAAAATGTTTTATCTCCTTTTTTACTGACTGTGCTATTTTCTCTTCTGTGTGTGATTTGGAAGCTCTTATAACTTGCTTAGCCTCTTTCTGCCTAATCTTATAGATCATTTTGTTTTCCTCACTCTGGGTTTTTTTTATAATTCCTAAATGCTAACTTTTAGTTTTTAACTATTTTGGCCAAATCTGTGGAGTACCACAGTGGTTTCTTGAATGTTTTGCATTTACTGACAAGCCTAATGCAATTTTCTGTTGCCTTCAATAGTGCAACTTTTAAATAATCCCATTTCTCTTGGACTCCATTTAAATTGCTCCAGTCTGATAATGACTCCTCTGCCCATATTATAATTTTAGAAAAGTCTGCTTTTCTAAAGTCTAAAACTTTTGTTTTTGTGTGGTGTGACTCAGTCACTGTTCTTATATTAAACCACACTGACTGATGATCACTGGATCCTAAGCTTTCACCTACAGTAATATCTGATACCAAATCTCCATTTGTTAACACTAAATCTAGTATGGCCTCTTTACGAGTTGGCTCCTCAACAACTTGTTTTAGAGACAATCCCAGTAGTGAGTTTAGAATATGTGTGCTCCTGGCACAAGTAGCTAATTTTGTTTTCCAATTTACATCAGGAAGATTAAAGTCACCCATGATGATAACTTCCCCCTTCATTGTCATTTTAGCTATTTCCTCAACTAGTAGATTATCTAACTCTTCAATTTGTCCTGGGGGCCTATAAATCACACCTACACGAGTTACTGTGTGATTACCAAATTCTAACGTAGCCCAAATGGACTCTATGTTTGCCTCACTAAGTTTTATTAGGCTATATTTTATGCTATCCTTCAAATACAAGGCCACCCCTCCCCCTTATTTGCCTTCCCTATCTTTTCTATATAAAGAGTACCCTGGTATTGCTTTGTCCCAGTCATTTTTCTCACTATACCATGTCTCAGTAACAGCGACTAAATCTACACTATCAGTAGCCATTATTGCCACAAGTTCATGGATCTTATTCCCTAAACTGCGAGCATTTGTAGACTTGACTCTAAGCTTATGATTTTTTTTAACACACTTGCTACAGGCACCTTCTGTCCCTGTTTTGGGGGACAATTGGATTGATGTTTTATCACCCTTTTGCCCCCCCCTCCTAGTTTAAATACATCCCAGCAAAATCTCTGAACTGCTCACTGAGAACATTTGTTCCCTTTTGAGAAAGATGCAAACCATCTTTTTTGTACAGCTTATCTCCATTCCAAACAGAGCTACCATGAGAAATAAAGCCAAATCCTTGCTCCCGACACCATTCACCAAGCCACAGATTAAAGTCCCTAATACGCATCCACCTGTCGTTCTGAGTGTTATGCACAGGCAGAACTTCAGAGAATGACAGTGTGGAAGCAACCTGCCGTATATCATTGGCAAAAACACTAAAAACTTCCTTAACCTCTGAAACCTCATTGCAAGCCAAGTCATTTGTCCCTAGATGGACAAGTACATAAAATTCCCCTTCCTGCTTTGCTTGCTTAACAATATTACAGATACGTCTCCTGTCTCTGTGAGTAGTAGCTCCGGGAAGACATCTCACAAGACCACCATTGTCCATCTAGAGACTTGTCCATCTAGAGACAAAAGAGTTGGCTTGCAATGAGGTTTCAGAGGTAAAGGTAGTTTTTGGTGTTTTTGCCAATGACTTGCAGCAGCTTGCTTTCAGACTGTCATTCTCTGAAGTTCTGTCTGTGCATAACATTCAGAACGACAGGCAGATGTGTATTAGGGACTTTAACCTGTGGTTTGGTGAATGGTGTCGGGTACAAGGATTTGGCTTGATTTCTCATGGTAGCTCTGTTGGAATGGAAATAAACTTTTTCAAAAGGGAACAAATGTTCTCAGTAAACAGTTCAGAGGTTTTGCTAGGATGTATTTAAACTGGGGGGGGGGGCAAAAGGGTGATAAAACATAAATCCAATTACCCCCCAAAACAAGGACAGAAGGTGCCTGTAGCAAGTGTGTTAAAAATGATAAGCTTAGAGTCATATCTACAAATGCTTGCTGTTTAGGAAAAAAGATCAATGAATTTGTGGCAATAATGGCAACTGAAAATGTAGATTTAGTCGCTGTTACTGAGACATGATATAATAAAAAATAATGGGACATAGCAATATCAGGGTACTCTTTATATAGAAAAGAGAGGGAAGGCAAGAAAGTGGAGGATGTGAAGGATAGCATAAAATCTCATAAAAGTTAGTTAGGCCATTTGAGTTACGTTAGAATTTGGTAATCACACAGTGTGATTTATAGGCCCACAGGACAAATAGAAGAGTTAGATAAATTACTAGTTGAGGAAATAGCTAAAATGACAATGAAGGGAGAAGTTATCATCATGGGTGACTTTAATCTTCCTAATGTGAACTGGAAAACCAAAATAGCTGCTTGTGCCAGGAGCACACATATTCTAAACTCCCTACTAGGAATGACTCTAAAACAAGTCGTTGAGGAGCCATACTAGATTTAGTGTTAACAAATGGAGATTTAGTATCAGATATTACTGTAGGTGAAAGTTTAGGATCCAGTGATCATCAGTCAGTGTGGTTTAATTTAAGAACAGTGACTGAGTCACACCACATAAAAACAAAATTAGACTTTAGAAAACCAGACTTTTCTAAAATTAGAATATGTGTAAAGGAGTCATTATCAGACTGGAGCAATTTAAATGGAGTCCAAGAGAAATGGGATTATTTAAAAGTTGCACTACTGAATGCATCAGAAAATTGCATTAGGCTTGTCAGTAAATCAAAAAATTCAAGAAACCACTGTGGTACTCCGCAGATGTGGCCAAAATAGTAAAAAAACAAAAAGTAAGAATCTAGTAATGATAAAAAAAAAACCAGAGTGAGGAAGATAGACAAATCTATAAGATGAGGCAGAAAGAGGCTAAGCAAGTTATAGGAGCTTCCAAATCACACACAGAAGAGAAATAGCACAGTCAGTAAAAAAAAGGGGATAAAACATTTTTTAGATACATAAATGAGAAAAGGAAAGTAAAACCAGGATTAGTTAGATTAAAAACAAAAGAAGGAAGGTATACAGAAGAGGATAAAGGTCTAGCTGACTGCCTCAATGATTATTTTTATTCATTTCTCGCGGCCATTAGCACCGGGGCTGTGACCTGTTTCTCACCCGAGTTCAGGCATATGGGTAGTAGTAACAAGAGGCAGATGGGTGCAGTCAGTGGGAAGTCAGGGATGCCTAATGTGTCCAGAATAGAGCGGGCTAGGGTCCACAGGGGTTGGATAGCTTTACATGACCACCATAACTGTAGTAGCGTGCCTGTATCTAGGTCACATCTCCAGCAAGTGGGCGATGAATTGGGGAATATGCGCTGGAGCCTCTGAGGGGTCATGTACCATCGGTGGGAAAAGCAGCGTGTCCACTTAGACAGGTCATTAAGGGCATGGAGCCAGTCAGCGTCTGTCAATGTCAAGCTGCAATCGGTTTCCGATTGGGCTTTTTGTGGATGGGCTTTAGTCGGTGAGATCTCCTGCCATGTTTTATAGCATAATGTTAACGCCTTTGGTTTGGTCAGTGAGGACCAGCACCTATCTGTCAGTAGGTGGAAGGTCACCCAGTCAGAATTTCCTGTATCGTGGGAGAGTGTAGTGTGTGCTGTGAGAATGCTCTTTAGTTGCAGGTAAGAGAAAATAGCTTGGTTCGGTATTTGCCATCGTGTCTGTAGTGTAGGAAAGGACTACAACATTGTTCTCGATCAGTTGTGAGATCTGGGTGATCCCAGCCTTTAGCCAGTCAGTAAGTGGGATGTCTAAGAGCTGAGAGAGGAACTTTGATGTGGAAGGTATCTTTAAGGCCTATGGTGGAAAGGAATTCTTCTCACACCGCTACCGTGAGTTGAGTAGTCGGGAAGAGATTAGGTTTCTGTCTCCTAAATCGTCTCGGTGTTGAGGAGAGGTTGGTCTGGGAACTGTACTTTCTCCATATCTATCCACTGTATAGAGGTGGTCTGAGTGTGTATGAGAATGCCTGCTGTCAGTGCCGCTGCTCTATAGTATTGCCAGATGTTTGGTAGGCCCACGCCTCCAAGTCTGGGCATGGTCTGTTAAAGTGCTAGCGACACTCTGGGTCTTTTACCCTCACAGATAAATGCACCGCATAGTTTCTGCAGTGCTTTGCAAAATTGTCTTTGCAAAATTTAGAGAATGCGGGGGAGAATCATCATTTTATAAGCGTTGATCCTCCCTATCCAGGAAAGTAACACCTGTTTCCATTTTGTTTCGGTTTTACAAAGTGATAGTAAGGGGTTATAATTCAGTTTCACTGTAGTCGTTATAGAGGGGGCTATTTTCACTCCTAGATATGTGAGGGAGGTTGATCTCCAGTCGAATTGGTAAATGGTGTGGAGGGTGTCTACCAACAGTTTAGGGAGGCCTACTGAGAGGGCTTGGGTTTTGTCCTGGTTCAGTCTGTAGTGTGAAACTTCCCCAAAGTGTAAAGGAGTGTATTGGGTTGGGAAGTGCTATGAAAATGTAGTCGGCAAATAACGCTAGACTAAATGTCCTGTCGTGTATGGTAATGCCCTGGATGGCGGGATGTGTGCTGATCTTGTAGGCTAGAGGCTTGAGAGACAGTATGTACAAGAGGGGCGAAAGCGGGCACCCTTGCTGGGTCCCGTTTGTGATGGCAAATGACTTAGATAAGAACCCTCCTTGGGATACCTTCACTGCAGGAGCACTATATAGGGCCATGATCTCTTTGATTACGTCCTCTGGAAAATTAAATTTTGACAACACTTTGCCATATATGTCCAATTCAGTCAGTTGAAGGCCTTTTCTGCATCCAGGGCAAGAAAAAGGCCCTCTGAACCACCTGTGTCCAGTGCGGACAGTATATTTAAGATTTTACGAGTATTGTCAGAACCTTGAGGGCCACGTTTGAAGCCAGACTGATCATTGTGTATGAGTTTGTGTAGGAGGGGGGCAAGTTTGTTGCTAATGAGTTTTGCATAGATCTTGGCATCGCCATTAAGTAGAGAAATGGGATGAAAATGTTTACACTGTGTTGGGGGCTTACCAGGTTTAGGAAGGGTTGAGATATGGGCCATTAACATTTCCTCTGGGAGGGCACCTTTTTTAGCACTCTGGTTGAGGAGACTTAGAAGATGCGGAGAAAGAACTGATGGCCTTTGGTAATATGCATTGGGAAGGCCATCAGGTCCTGGGGATTTGTGTGCCGGGAGGTGGGAAATTACTGTTGTGAGTTCTTATAGGGAAAAGGGTTTCTGAAGGAAGTCTTGGTCCTCTTGGGTCAGTCTAGGTAGGTCCAGGTCTTCCAGAAATTTGTCAATGTCGGTAGGGGTAGGGAGGTTCATCTTGGGGTCATTTTTGAGATTGCACAATTCTCCATAATAAGTTGCGAACTTGGCCACTATTCCTTGGGAGTCCAAGGTACGGTTCCCCCCACCATCATCAAGACTTATGTTTAAGTTGGGACGCTAATTTAGCGCCTGCCCTGTTACCATTTGTGAAAAATTTGTGTTTGGCCCTGCGGAGTAAGTATGTTGTTTTAGCTAGTTCTAGGTTTTTCAGGTGAGACTGAAGGTTTAGTAATTTTGTATACATAGCTGAGCTAGGGTTCCGTTTGTTAGAATTTGTCAGAGTGGTAATTTCAGATATCAGTGAGTTATATATTTTATGAAGCTGCCCCGAATGCACGCCTTATGTGCTAACCATCTGTTCGATCTGTTCGATGGGGGAATCTTGGACAATGTTTTCTTTAAAGTAGTTTGTTAGGTCAGTAGTTATTTGCTCAGCAATGTGGGGGTCTGTCAGGAGTGTGTCGTTAACCCTCCATGTACCCGTCCCTTTATTAGGGAAGAATTCTCTAATGCTCAGTGTGATAGGAGCGTGGTCTGACCACGATATAAGTCCAATGGTAGATTCCTCTATGCTTGGCAGGTAGGTGGCTGGGATAAGGAATCGGTCTATGCGGGAATAGCTATTATGAGCTGCCGTGTGGCAGGTATAATCGACCTCCGTCGGGTGCTATATGCGCCACGGGTCCACCAAATGATAAGAGGCTAGTATGGCACAGACCAGCGTCGACAGGGACAATCTCTGCTTTAAAGTGCCAGCAGAAAGTTCCGCCGAGGCAGAGGAGTCTGCTCTACTATCTATAAAAAAGTTGGTGTCGCCCCCAATGATTACCTCCTCATATTTATACATTTCTGTTAACGCCAGTATCATAATTAGAAACTCATGTTGGTTTTAATTAGGGCTGTAGATATTGACCAAAGTGTAGGGGTTGTTGTTGAGAAGGCTTTGAAATATTAAGTAGCGCCCTTTTCGGTCACTAATTTTGCATACTAAAGAAAATGCGGTGTCTTTGCTTATTAGGGTAGAGATGCCACATTTCTTTGTTGTATAGCAGGCATGGAAATCATGTGGGAACCATTTGGAAGAAAATTTAGGTCTGCCTTGCCATTTGAAGTGCGTGTCTTGGAAAAATGCCACTAGGGCTCCACATTTTTTGGCTTCACTCATAGCTAGTCTGCATTTATTAGGGGAGTTAAGCCCCTTAGAGTTTAGGGATAATATTTTAAGTACCATTAAAGGGGATAGGGCCTGTGCTCGTGCCCAGGCTAGGTTCTTTCGGTATTACGGCCGGTAGGAAAACTGGCCTTTGGGCGAGGCTTTAGTGG